TTATTATTATATTGACTTACATTAATGATGCACTCCGTTGCTCGAGAACAATGTGTTCATGCAAATTGTTGGCAACACAATTAATTCGTTCTTGTAGGTTTTAGAAAAACTATGATGATATGATACGTGCGTGGCCGGTTGGCTAAATTGCAGGCGTGTGCAGGCTACTTTGTGTTATATATATATATATATATATATAGCCGATGCGTCTTCAGAGACCGGTTGCATGCTAGACCGGACACGGTGTTCCGTAACATTTTTATTCGTGAATTTATGATATCCATGTTTTTTTTCTTTGATCTTTCTACACGGAATAAAATTGTATTGTACGGTATTCAATACGGTGTCCGAAACATAATAACGGTAATGGGTTATCGCCGATTACCAAAACGGTAGCTGCTCATGCTGTTGTTGTTGATGTTACCTATCATTTTTTTTTTTTAAATTATTATCTCATATATTTTGTTTATATTATTTTAGTGGAATCATTTTAATGGTAAATGTATTGGATTGCTTAAAATTGCATATAGGTAGTGTGTATGTTGTGAACCACAATATAGTGAATATTAAAATTAATTGGTGTATGAACTTTAAAAATAATATCCTACAATTAATATAGGTGCTAATATGATACTAAAATATTTTTAATATTATTTGGTAAATATTTCACCATTAATTATTTAACATTTATATTTTGTTTTTATAAAATGAATCATTTATTACGCTTAGTATGTAACTTGTGTAATTTTAAATAATACACGTGTGTATTACGTAAAACTCGCGGTAAAACCGTAAAAAATATTTAGGTCATTTCGTGATATTATTATTACTAAGTTATAATTTTTTTTTATCCGATGTGTGTTTTAGAAATTCCATCAATACTTACATAATTTATTTTATTTTGGAATGTGAGCGTTATAGGATATATGTTAATATCTACAAGTATTAATGTCTATAAATATTATTTTTCATTATCATAGCAACAATTCTATTTAACTCTATATGTATGTAGTATGTAAAGTATTAAAATACATATTTTATCTTAATAGATGGTGTTCATTTTCTGAATTGATTCGACCTTATTTGCCTATTAAGAGAACTTAATGATGACTGTTGTCATCGGAATTTATTTATTGTTGAATTTGTATGTTCAACTTTCAAACTTAAAGATTGTTATAAGTATACAGTAATAAAAAAATAATTTATAACTTAATGATAAAATAGTTTTAGTCAATACAATTTGTTTTTTTTGTCGGTATGTGTAATTTTGTCCTCAGTACATTTTGTATACTTGTTTTCGTTTGATATTATTTGTAGTACGTAATGAACTCGAATTTTACCATTGAAATAAACCCCAAATAAATTTTGATGTATTGTATACAGACTTAAGAAAATTAATCTAAAATATTGGTTAAGTAATTTTAAAAGTGTCTGTAGTTAATTAATATCAATAAATTATAACATTTAAAGAAAGATACAGCTAATGTTATAAAAAATATTTTATTTATACCTAATCGGTATACATGATTAATATGATTTTTTATTTATTTGATTTACTTTAAAATATCGTCCTTTCATACTCTATAGATTCGAGTTTTATTCTAGAACTAGCCTCAGAATTAACTGAATTACCCGGCTTTGCTCGTATGTATTTTTCTGTTTTTTTTTTTCATATTTACGGTATTACATTAGATTATTAGTGACATTGTTGAGTGCAAAATAGTTTTTACGTTTAGTTAGTAATTTTTGTTTTTTATTTATTTATAATACTTCCTTGTATAGAATATTTTTGGTTCTTCCTGAAGACAGCAGATAGTGGCGCACACAGGATTTTTTTTCGCATTGATAATAGAATAGACTATTCTATAATCAATGATACTAGGTATTCAATACTAACTCTTCATATTTCAAACTTGTAAAATTTGTAAATTTTAACCTAGACATCAGAGAAAATTTCGGGGGGGGGGGTATACAACCCCTTAACCTCTCCCCCCATGCGTGGGCCACTGGCAGCAGTATTACTTACCTATTAGTAGAGCTTACACATGAAGAGGCATCGTATAATTGGTCACGGGAGAAATAGTTATTCCTCAAATCCATTCTTGCTATTTTCAAAGACTGCCCTTATATTTTGTTAATTATTATGACAAAACAGAACTTGATGGGAAACTGTAGCCGTTTGAATTGAAAATGGTAGATGGAATCAAAGGTATTCTTGATAGAAAAACTATTTTTCCCGTACTACAACCTGTGTAATATAAGATATTTGCTAATATGAGTACTCGGTATAATATCTAGTATTGGTGTATATCGATAAACTTTCGGAATATTTCGTAACTACATGCCGGTATCAAATACACAATTGATGTACAAAAAGGACGGGTTAACTGGAACCCTACGGGCCGCCGTACCACACAATACATATTGGCGGTTAATTATTATTATAAATTAATTCTCTTTATGCAAATTTTTTTAAAATTCTTATTGAATATTTAGAGTATAAGAAAAATCTCTATTCCGAATTTCAAGTTCATAAGTTTAGTAGTTTTGGATAAATAGCGATCAATAAATGAGTGGTATTAGACTTTTATATATATATATATATATATATATATATATATATATATATATATATATATATATATAGACAACGTATATAGTATAGTTTTGTATTTTTGAATGTTTTCATCTATGTATTATCTTATTAAAGATATGTAATATGAATAAATAGTATATACCTACATTTACAATGTATAATTTATTAATATACAACTATAATATGTTATATTAATATACAGGTATTACTAGTTAAATTATTTTGTATCATATAATGAGGCTAGGTTAAATTAGTTTTTTCATAAGGACAACTAAAATAAAACATTTGATTATTTGTTACATAGAAATAGGTGTAATTAGAACAATTGTCTCTTATACACTTTGGATTCAATTATAGGAAAGTCTATATTCTCTATTCGAATTATTATTATTGTAATATTAAAAATAAAGTGTGTTTTAAAAGATGGATGGTTCTTTTAATTTTTAAATTTTTATGTAATTCTTTGCTAATGTTTTGTAGTTGATGATGTACCTATTTACAGTTAAAAAAATTATAAAAATTTAAACACGTGTACAATATTTAGTATACGATTGTACGATACCGTCCTAATTATTGCAATAAATATTTTTGAAAAATGAGCCGTCGCGGGACGCCTTGCAGATGTGAAACATCAAAAATTTTCTTTTTGTAATAATTTTTATTATAAACGCTTCAACAATAACAAGCGTCCATTTAGATCATTGAGTTAATAAAGTGTTTATTAGTATAAATAAAATAATTAATTACTTATTAGTATTTGGCTTATGAGTTAATATTCTGGGGAGACTTAAAATTATTTAACATAAACTCCATACAACAACGAACAAGAAAAACCCTTTTATTGAAAAATCATCGGCACTAATGGAATTTGTCGATTCTGATCTTATTTTAAAATATATATCTTGATAAAGGATATTCTAATTAAATATATTGTTCAAAACTCCTGTTCTTTATTTATTTTTACTGTGCTTAGATACTCTTTAAGATTAATCTGTTAATCTACTATCATTTAGCACTTTTTCGCAAATTTTCGGCACATAATTTCTGGATGTCGACGGTCATTCAGAACGTGGATAGTATTAAGTTGACTCATGACCATTTTTCATTGTTTAACACATTCGAATGTTTTTGAACGACTTAATGAATCATCTCTAATAGCAGTTTTAATCATTGCATACGTTTTCATGGCATTTTTACAGAATTTCAAACAAAACTTGATGCACACACGTTGTTCGGTAATACCAGACATGTCGAAAATGCTAAACGGATTCGATTTAATCATGTGTTAACTTAAACTGAAATAAGATAGCGACTTCGAGTTTTGTTTAAAATATTCACTTATATGTGGGTAATATATCTATATTTATAATTTAAAGCGTTATCATGCCTAGATTAGTCGTAATAATATTTGCCCCGATACTTTTTGAACAGACCTCGTATTATATTATATATTATGTATTTTTATTTAATACTATGAAAAGTTGAAATGCAATTTTTTTTTTTAATTGTTTTGTGTTATACCGTCATACATTTCTTATTAGTTCTTATTTTTTTTACATGACTACAGTAAATAGAATATATTTTATAATGTGTTCTATATGAGTCGATGATTGCAGAAACATAACGAGACACATATTTTATGAAATTGAGGTATTAGTATAATGTATACAATAGTATAGGTAAAGAATACTCAATTTTATAATATGTGTGACTCTTGGCGTTTCTGCAATCATCGATTTATATATTATATAAATATAAATACAACTCATAATATTATGGGTCTGATGTATACTTAATTTTTTCATTGAATAAGCTGTTCTCAAGCGATGCACGTTTAGGATTTTTGTCACATAACATAATACAATGTATAATTGTGTACACATGTAGTGTATAGGAATTTTGTAACAAAGTATAAGGTTTTCATCACTTCAATAGGCTACAATAGCGACGTGACAATATGGCTAGTATACTTTACGTTCTGGATTTTGTTTTTAGCCACACCAATAATAAACTGATATGAATTTTTTAAGGTTCTAATATCAATACATTGAAGATTTTAATATAATATTGTGATTAAGAGATATTTGATGTAGATAAATTAATCAAAGAAATATATACTTTTTAGATTTTAGTATTATAAAAATTTAAAAACTGAAATAAAATACAACAAGTTTTGGTTTTGTTTGAAACTTATATGTGTAGATAATCTTGTGTATTATAATTTAATTGTGTTTCGGGTATATCTATACATTATTAAACAATGGCCTACATTATGTATTCTAAAATAATACTAAGCCCTTATAATGAAGATCATATTATACTTATGCATTGTTTTACACATAGTACCTATCTTTATTTTGTATTGGTGAAATATAATAGCTTTAACATTTTTTTTTTTTTTTAGATTACCATGAATCCTGAAATGACTATGGCCATGAAAAGGCACGAAGAGCGGGAGGCTTTGAGGAGCGTCATTCAGCAATGGAATGCTAATCGACTAGATCTGTTCGAACTTTCTGAACCAAATGAGGTAAATGAAATATTGGTATTATTTTTGTACTATTTATACATTTAAGTATAATATTAAAAAACACGACCGTACGTGGATGTTTATTTTTTATTTATCATTTATGTACTATTATATTTATTATTTATAAATTTACGGTCTAGCGCATGAGAATAAATACAATAATAGGGTGTGCGAAGGAGCATAACACCCTATTTCTATCCGTGGCTTATTTTAGTTGTACAATAATTAACTTCAAAACATTTAGTACTTTTTTCGTATTGATATAATTATGGGAATCGAGAGTTCACGATCAAAAACTGTATTGTAATTATATAAATTATTAAAAATTATTTAGATTAGTCAAAATTTTAATGACAAAAAAAAAAATTAATGTATGAGAAACATAAATTCGAATTATCATAGTATACTGAGTTCTTCTGATTATTTTTAGTATTAATGTTTTGAATTATAATACATATACATTTATTACAGTTAAATCATATATTATTTTTATTATTATTATTATATATTTTGGTTAACATATTTATATGGGATGAATGTAGTGCATTTAGATTGAGTTTACTTCCAAAGTATTTCCTAGTGCGTAATTTAAAATATATCTTTTTATAAATTAATATTTTAATGAGTAACTTTAAAAGAAGATACATTTATAACAGTTATATCAATGTATTATGCGTAAAAGAAGTGTAAAAGAACTATTCAAGTTTTTTTTCTAAAATAAAACGATTCGTCTAAAAATAAATGCGTCAATTTAGAATCAATAAGTGTACTTCATTTTACTAACAGTTTTCTGGAGTAAAATATTTTTATTGCATTACGGGCTTATTTGAATAAGACATCTGGCCTCTTCAATAGCACGTGCTTTTACTGCCTATTCTATGTTATAAATGTATATTCATGAACCTATAGTTTAAGTGAGTATTTTGAGCATGGTTTGTGCGTGCTTGACGTCCACTGAATTAATTTGTTTATTCAATAATTTGAAAATAACTGTGTCGGTTGTGATTTTACAATGTCAGTGATCATTGATGCATAGTACATTATTTCATTAGTTATTTGATAATGTTTTATTCAAATAGCAATCACAAATTTATTTTTGGCGTTTTTCAAATTGATTTTAAACTTGAAATTGGATAGTAAATTTTAGGTTATTTACTTATACTTAATGATTAATTACGAGTATACTTTTTTTGATTTTAAATATTTTAATAAATTAATTATAATAATACCTTAATACTTTAATCGGTACTTATTTATATATTTATACTTTTAAAAAGTGTCTGTAACTTTTTTTAGTATAATATTTATTTTAATTTTCAATTATTATTAAAAAATTTTTTTTTTGTACAATTTCATGTTAAAAACGATGGTTTTTGTTACATTATTAATTTAAAACGTTACTTACTTCCAAAGTATCCATTAGAAAATATGTAAAGCTATTTTTAAGATTCCTATTAAATATAATTTTGTGCTTTGCATAATACAATAATTACTTAATCAATAAATAATAACCAATATAAAAGAAAATAATATTCTATAAATAATTGCTTAATTTATAAAGTTAATTTTGAAAATATAGATTAAACTCGTAGTATAGCTTTTAGTTTTGAATTAAATCATGAATAACTTGACATGGTTTAAAGTAAATGTGTAATATTATATATATTAAGAACATTATTTTAATTTAATACTGTATCATCAATAAGTTTTACATCATGTTATATATTATTATATTTCACGTTGGCATGAAGATGATCGGAATTTGTTCGCGGAACGTCCACGGTTAATTATTATCAGAGAAGTTTCAATGGATAAATACAACGGTGAAAGAGACATTCTATATTCTCGTTTCAGGTCATTCATCCGATTTAACATGTTAGTGTTTGTACTGAGTATGTAGAAGACCGACTTTTAATTTCATTGAACATAGAATGTATTCCGTACAACTGTCTGATTTTCAATGATGTGTCACATTAATAATTGATTTCACCGTAAAAAATTTCATAAGAATCACATTGTTGTTAATCATACACCTTAACCTTGGTGCAATCTTTTACGGTTGAATTTAGCGAGGTTACGTAATTGTAACACATGTGAGCCCAGTTAAAATGAAGTGTTAGTGGTTCGTCAATAGTTTATATGCTTGATATGTGACCAACAATATGATAATCATTTTTTGTTTTATTATTTTTAATTAATATAGTTAATATAAAATGTGTATTTTAATAGGTAGGTACGAACAAAAGCATAATTTCAAGCTCATCATGATAAAATTAATTTGTCGGTTTGAATTAGTTTTAAATTTGATGTTTTATAAAATCATTACTTTCAAAATTAATGTTCTATGATTTTATATTATAGATCTATGTTCTTGGTTTGTAATATTGCTTATCCAGTAAAATATTTTATCCTAGGAATAAAAGTGACTCAGCATTGTATTAATTTGATTACAATGTTATTGAAAATATTGCATATGGTTGAATATTTTGTGATTACTAATCTGCAGTTATAAGTACTAACCATTGTATTGGAAACCAACTGGACTGTTGTATTGTGTTCAAATAAAGTTTAAATTATTTATCACTTACGTTTCAAATTATTAATATGAATTAATAACTATTAACTAAAATAAATAATTTATCATTTATTTTGTACAAATAAAAAGTTCTGTTGCATATTTTTAGTTTCCAATGATTCTTATTAATATTTTAAAATAAATAGAACAGCATTTATATTTTGGTTCTTAAAATATAATAAAAATGCGTAGAAATTTAGTAAGAAGAAATTCAAAGATAAACTTATAGACAAATGATATAATCAGTAACATAAAATGTTGTGTGTAACACAGGATTATAGATTTACTAGGTCTTTAATAGACCATGGCTTTATGCATTCTATACTTGTATCATTGATTTAAAATATGTATTTTTATTAATTTTTGAAGGCGAGAAAGAAGATTTTAATTATTTTATTATTCAGGAAATATTTAAAAAATATTAATTAAGTAATGCTCAAATTGGTAAAAATAATTGAATTTATATATTTAGAGCAATTTCTCTATCTTTTTTTTATCTTGATCATTTTTACTCGCCGTTTTCAATTTTTAATTTTCATCTTTTATTCCATAAAGTATAATTTTTTTTCATAATGAACTAAATTGTTCATTGATTTTAATTGTTTCGACAATATTTTTACTTATTACTCGTTTGCTGTCTTCAAAAAAGAAATTAATATATATTTTAAATTTCAAAAATCAAAAATGTTGGAGTATAATACTTACATTATCTCATGCGTTTAATTAAAAAAAAATGGAGTTTTGCCAAAAAGGTTTTGAAATTAGCCGATCTCTTTTCTATTAAAGTAATGTATATAGGTGATTGATAAACAATAGCTAAATAACTAAATAAACTTAACTAGAATTCCCAACACTTAAACCTCCATGGCTATATTTATTTTTACTTTAAGCTTTTCATTTTCGTTTTAGCAATAAAATTAATTTAATGATACAGTGTCAGTCTGCGGTAGTACTATTTTTGTAAATTTAACATTTATTGCCATGTATATTTAATTATAAATATAAGAGAAGTGCTCTCAATTGCAGTTATCATATGTCTTTTCATCTCTTTATAACAGTTAAAAAGTTGAAATAAACATATTTCTGAAAATAACTTGATAAAATAAATAGAAATTTAGAAACAATTATCGTATCTTACTAATTATATTGTATAGGATTTTATTTAAATTTAAAGCCACCCATAGAATAAAAAAATTGTGTATGATTTTAATTGTTGTAGTTTTATCATTTATTTTAAGTTATTACAGACAAATTCTTGTCATAAAATAAAATAACTTATCTTAAAACGTATTTTGTGATTTTTAAAATTATTCATGTATTGCATATAATTTAACAATATTAACTATTAGGTAGTAATGAATAATGAGTTGTTTTTGAACCTGTGAAGCTGATTAGTAATTTGTCGCTTTAAGTTTAACCGTGGGAACTGATACAAGTGGTCGAGTATACATATAATTATACAAATAACAGTGTTACTTGTTTATTAAAATAATAGATGTGGTATTATTAATTTTCTAATTGTATAGCTAAAGTTTTGTTGGTAATTTTTAACTGTTTTAATAAATTGTTTAGGCTTATTCGTTGTAATATTCCATTATTTTATATCAAGTAACGATAGTTAAAATCTGATAAATTATTGAAATATTTATTTATGTTGAAAACCATTACACAGTACATAATTAATATGAAATGTTCATTACATTTATTCTGATTAAGTGACAATATTCTTAGATAAATTTCAACAATTTCCTAGCAAATAATTTATTCTTATTTTATTACAGGAACTACTTTTCCATGGTGTTATGAGGTTTTACTTCCAAGAACCTGGCACCGGTCAAAAAGTTGCTACGAAGTGCATTCGTGTTGCATCAGACGCAACGTCACAAGCAGTTATTGAAACTCTTATTGAAAAGTTTCGACCTGATATGAGAATGTTATCAGTACCGGAGTATGCTTTATACGAAATACACGAAAATGGAGGTAATTAATGTTGTATGAAGTGTATTGTAAATCAACATTTTTTAAATTGTTATTTCTATTTATAGACGAAAGAAAACTCGGTGTTGATGAAAAACCTTTATTAGTACAGTTGAACTGGCATAAAGACGATCGTGAAGGCAGATTTTTATTACGCCGGATAGACGAAAAAACAAATGTAAATATTTGCATTAAAAATTCATTTTTAAACACAATATACCAGTAGCGTTCATAGGGGGGGGGGGGGGGGTAAAACCCCTCCTGATATGCAGGAAAATTATTAAATATGTTTTTATAAAGTAAAAGTGGTATATAGATTATATAATTATTAAAATTTACAGCTTAACTTCACTCCCGAAATATTTTTTATGTATGCGCCTGCTATAATACACTACACCGACTGATTTTTTTTCTCTATTAAACGTACTCGTTCATTGTTTATAAATTATATTTAATTGGTGATAAGGCAGGCACGTAAATAGTTGCTTATTTTTTTTAACTTTTTTTTTTTTAGGGAGGTTGCGTTTAACCTTCAAAATGATTGGGGCTTAAATAATGGGTGTTACATACTGTATATCTTAATTCGTGATTATTACAGTATGATCTTAAGGTAGGGGCTCCTACCGCCTCCTCCTGAAATACGTGCCTGTGATGAGGTTATTCAGTATTCTTATTAGTATATTTGTACTGTATGCTATCAAATATCAATAAAGTTTTGTAATTATTATTTTAATTGTTAGTGTTTATGAACGAATAAATAAAAAAATAATTAACTAAAAATTTTAAAATTGACCATTTTTGTTGATTTTATCTTATTAAAAATTTAAAAAGAATTGTTATTTTTATTAAAACTAAAAAATAAAACAAGATGTTTTATTTTTATAAGCAAATAAACTTTTATGTTTAAAATTAAAAAATATATGAATATATATATATTAATATTTTAGAGATTAATATTTTTGTGTATCACTTATCCTTATTATATATAAAAGAAATGACCTTTTTTGCACACTTATTTTTCAATTATACCTCTAATAATTTAATTATTGCAGATTTGTTCCTAATACAGCCTTAATGTTGTCACCAAGTTACCTTGTCAAAAGTTTGATCATAATGGGATGGGTGTTCAATGTATTTGAATATTATTTTTAAACATTTTCTGTTCATTTAATATAAAAGAAAGAAATGGTCACGCAGAAATGTATTAAATACTACTTGAGTTCTTTGACTTAACTTTTTATATATTTGTTGGATAGGGGGAAGGGAGAATAAACCAAATACTTGCATTTTGTTTTTTCTCTTTTTTCACAGCAAGTAAAACTAACTACACTTATCATGCATTCAATAGTCATTTTTTTCGACTTGAAATTGTAGAATTAAATGTGTATAGTATACTTGAAGTTCAATGCTAAATAAATTTTAACTTATGATTTATTTTTGATACCAAGATTTATTGTACTGGGTGGGGGATTTGTGTTTTAATCACATTAAATAATGATAATGCTATTTATTCAATCCTTATTATTTTTCCCTCCATACTTACCTAACCTGCTAAATTCTGTGTTCCAATTTTGTATTCACAATAATCCTATACTTATAAAAATATTTTTTTAACTTTTGAGCAAAGCTAATATACTATATTATATGGCTTTTTAAATTGTTTATTTAATAATTATTTATTATTTTAAGATGCCTGCTGGGACGTTTCAAGAAGCAGGATCTAGTTTTAAACGTAAGCTATCAAAACGAGAGAAGAAACAGCTTAAAAAGCAAGAAAAACTTAATCGTGCCAAAAGTCATGGTTTAAGCCCAAATGATGAAAATGATGCTGGTGTTGCAGAAAAATTATACACAGGTATAATTATAAATATCATGCAGTATTCTAAGTTATAATTTATTTGGTGAGAATATTTTTAAATGTGAACTTATGTATTTTGGATCAAATGTTCCATTTACACCATTGATATAGCTTTCATAAAAAAAAGAATACTAATTATTAAATGCTAAATTTTGCCTTAAATCCTTACAGATAACTTATATTATTATTAATGAAAATCAAAAATCAATATTATTACCTTAATATTTAACAAAAATCTGGCAAAAATTCTTTATTTTGAATAATAAGTTACAAATTTTTATCATAAGTAAAAATTATAGATACAAGAAATAATATTGATTTATTTAATTTCCATATTTAACCTAATGTATTGTATTAGCTAAGGGGGGCACACTAGGAAACTCAAGGGTATCAATAGATACCCTTTAGAGAATTAGTGGGTGTATGATTCTGGGTGAATTTTGATGAATATTTGTTTAATATTGTATGTATTCTTAGAAAAAACCAATAAAGCTTAAAAATAGAAGTTATAATATTCCTAAACTCATATTTGACAGGGGGGGGGGTAGTTGGCTACCTTGATATGTATATATTTTTCGACACCCTTGTAAAAAATCTACTGTGCACCACTGATAAGCAATACTATGAATGACATAAATATTTTGTAAATTATGAATTTTTATTTGTTATTAATAAATTCATGTGTGGCATTACTTTTTTTACAGAGTTACCAGAAACAAGTTTCACTAGATCAATTTCTAATCCAGAGGCAGTTATGCGTCGTCGACGTCAACAAAAATTAGAACGGAAATTACAAGCATTTCGTAGTAAAGATGGTGGTCCTGATACTGGTGGCACTCTTAAAATTTATGGTGAATCTCTCTGTAGGGATGTACCTTACAAAACTTTGTTATTGTCTATTAGAGATACTGCTCAACAAGTTGTTAAGGAAATGTTGGCTAAATATGGTCTTGATAAAGTAGATCCTCACAATTTTTGCCTTGTTCAGGTATTATAAAATTTTTTACATAATATATTTATAAATAATTATTTAACTTAATTATTTAATTTTAATTGTTTTTAAAAAATTACAGGTTAATAATGCAATTGCATTAAATGAAAATAATTCTGGATTGAACAATGGAGTTTCAGAAAATAAGGAAACACTTAACAATAATAGAGAATATATACTTGATGACGATGAATGCCCTTTAGCTATTTTAATGAATCATCCACAGACTAGAGGTAAATAACTATTTTTATAACTATATGCCATAAAATGTGTTTGCTAATAATTTTTTATAATTTTTGCTTGAATATATTTTTATTTAAATATTTAAAATAACAAAACAAACATAATAAAAAAAATTAATTACTTGCATGTTCATTGCTTACGATGTTTGGTGTCAACAACGGATGGTATCTAGGAAATAATAACCAAAACCAAATTAGATTCACATACACTTATATTCGTTTATTTTGCATACACAAGTCACATTAATACAATTATGTTAAATTGCCTATATAAATGTCCTTTAAACACGACCAACTGGAGTCCCCTTAATGTACGAAACTATAATTTTAAATGTTTACTTTATCCAACTCATGAATAATGTGTATTTTAGCTGTAATATATATATATATATCACAAACAAATAATATATACATATTTATAAGCTAAAAGTATAGAGATAAAAAGTGGTATGTATCACTTTTTTTCACGTTCAATTAATACTGAACAAAAATAGTTATATACTTGTTTATAGTTTTTTCAATAGTTGTTAATTTTAAAAATTTTGCTTCCATCTGAAAATCCCTTGACTTTTTATTTTTGATATTTTTTTATTTGAATTTTCGCATAGTTAATGTTTTAAAATATAATATTCTTTCATGAAAAACTTATTTTTGTAAACACAAAAATAATATAGTTTTTATTTTATTAATTAGGTCAATTAAACTATGATTATTCTTTATGTTTTACATTAAAACCCGGAGAGACTTGAGGGGACTAAGCCCCCCAGAAATGTAAAGTACAGATCTTAGCCCCTCTAGCCCTAAATATTGTTAAATGACTAAAAATACAATAATTTTTATAATTGTAAAAGACATTTTTAATAACTGAATTAAAAAAAAATATTCTGTGATAAAAATTAAATCAAATTCATAAGATTTTACAAACTTATTGTCATGACTTGGAACGATCATAATTAATGTAATATTAATAATATGTAATAATTTTTGTTTAGAATACCTACTCCAAAAATGTTTAAGATAAGGCACCTAATTGTTTTTTTGGTTAAATTGTTGAGTATGTCAAATTGTCAAACTTTGTAAATTGCCTTTTTGAAATAAATAATTGCATACAGGGGTACCTATAAGTTTAATAAGCAAATAATGCTCAGCCCCCCCACTAATTTCACCTAATTTTCGCTTATATGTTTTACTTGATTGAGTGAAGCATTTCAAAGAATAATAGATAGATAGATGTTTAGTTGTTTTTAAATATTTCTTATAAATTGTGTATCATACTTTTATAATATATTTTTATTAAAGTTACACTTTATATAATATATTAATTTGAGACTGTATGTGTTGTTTTTTATTATTGGAAATCATTTTTTTTTTTTATAATAAATATTTTAATATTCTCAAATATATCTTATTGATAATAACAATTAAATGTATATAGAAAATATGCTTTAAATGCGACTGAGGATAACAGTGTTATCAGAATATTCTGATAATTATGGAACATTAACTATAAAACTATAAAAGTCAATAGTTTTGTTCAGAATCAAATAATTATAATATTAGTAATAGTAAATAATAATATTCATGAATACTAAATAATTGTTACTATATTAAATAATAGTTGATAATGATGACAAGTTTTTTTTTTAAATTAATATTACAATTGTTGAAGAATTCTAGCTTTACTTAACATTTTTTATAATACTATTTTAATCTACATAACCTAGGTATAACTTAACACCAAACCATTTTTATTACATTAAATTCTTCTTCTTCTTGTCCTTCGCCTTTCCTCTTCCTTTAATTATTCGTATTTAATTAAATTTATTAAAATTATATAAATTAATTGATTGTATTATTATTATTATTATTATTATTGTGCTGTATGGATGTATATGAATATGTTTTATTTAATGAGGTCATGTATTCTGTCACATCACTATTATTTGGGTATACTTTGCACGCAATTTTATTATTTGATTAACGTTGCCTAATGGACAGAATACTAAAATATAAAAGTTGTAATTATTATTATTTTTCATAATAGATAGACAAATGAAAAAATAAAAATAAAATTCTACAAAATATTGCATAATATAACGCCCGTAAAATACTCAACAATCGATTTTTGAATAAAAGAAGAGTGAAGGTGTTCTATAAGTTTTTAGTGGGGTATGTTATATGGCAATGTTTATTATGGTAATGTTTTTATTAAATTTTGCGTAATAACGTTAAAAAATATTGGAATAATTCGGTATCATTTGAAATTGACCTATCAGAAGCCGTAAAGTTTGGTGCCCGAGCATCTTTTTTTTTTTTAATGTTTACGTACGTAGGTGTATATACCTATGCGTCAAGGGTGTTGTTCGATGGCAGCGTTCGCGCGTGTATTGTATAACAGTGGTGTATAGCGTGTTCACAGTCGAGTGTGTGTGGTGGGAAGAGCCCGTGTTCTCGACCATCGTCGATCGTCGCTGGCGTCGCGCGCACCGAAGATCTCAGTCACGCCGTTGTATTGTGTCGGTTCGCATGACTTCACGTGCTCTGCGACGTGTAACTTTTCCGTTATATTTTTGTATTTCCGTAAAAAATTATTTTTACTATTATTATTATTATTATTGTTGACCTACAACGGTCGGTCGACGATAACGTAACGTGGTGTGTGTGTTGTTAGTGATGTGTCGATACATTTTTCAATTAGTTTTCCACTCGTCTATACGTATTATATAGTGTATGGGGCGCACGGGAACAATGTCAAGTGCTGGTATAAATAGTTCGATGGGACCGTACGAGTGCATCACGAGATGTTTTTGAAAACGTTTTTTCTCGGGCCTGATATGTATAATAGTCGCGTGTAAAAATAATGCATTTTTTCCCGGTGCATCCCTAAGTTTTCCCGTTTACGTGTTTTTTTCTTTCTTTTGTTGTGTGTTTGGCCGTCATCGTCGTCGTTTCATTCCGACGTAATAATTTAATATAGTTAGTACATTAAATTTCAATGATTTGGTGGCGTTTGACTGTGGCACGGGGTTGCTACTACTATTATACGGTCAAGGTTGCGTGTATATGGATGTAACGATTACGTCTCCGTGTACCCTGACGACGGCGGCGGCGGCGGTGGCGGTGGCGGCGGCGGCGGCGGCATCGACAGTGGTAGTAGTGACGACGGCTACGGCACTTCAAAAATGATGGATTGGGGTATAAGACGTAAGGAAAAAGACTGCATTGCGTCGGCTATTGCTCACGCTTTCGTTTTGTGTTATGTTTACATTGTTTACTATGTTTTACGTTTACTTGTGTACGCACACTCCGTTTTAGTTTTAATCGTTATTGTTTTTCCCAATGGTATTCCGATTTTACAAATATTTTCGACGTATTTCGCGGTAAAGAGGGAGATGTAACCGGTGTATTAATATTATTTCGTTATTGCCGCGACGGTATATGTTGTATTTTCTTGGTGTGCGTTTCCATGTGTTATTCGACACGTGTACATTTTATACAAGACGTCAATAATTCAAATTGCATGTGTTCATTATTTTTTATTTGGATTCTGAATTATATTATTATTTGAAGTTATTGCAAAATAATTTCATGTGTTGGTATACGGTTCGATTTTTGTCTATTGGTTCGATTATGACGCATGCATACGTATTACATATTTGGTTGTAAGCGGACAAACGTAATTGGTGCAATACATATTAAAAAACCAAGTATGGACGTATTAGCTTTGATGTTATAATTTATGCTATGTAAATGCTTAAAACTCTATCTATAGTTAATCTGTCATTATTATTATTTTTTTTTTTGCATGAGATTTGTAGTCACTTCTGTCGTATTGATTAAATAATGTAGTGTTTTCTTAGGTAATATTATTGTCAAAATTTTTCTCATAAGGTTGTAAAGCAGGGGTGATCAATATTTACCAAAAAATGATAGTTCAGAATGCGGATATATTTTTAAAAATAATTATTTTAAGTATATACCATAAAATTATTAAAATGAATAATATCTAAAAATGATTTGTTATTATCAAGGCTTTTAACTTTAAGCGTTTTCATATTTGTCTAGAAAGTGGATATTGAAATTCTAATTCGATACAAAATTGATTTATAGTATGTATATTTCAGATATAAAATTTTTTGTTGCAAAATTTTGCATTTTGGTTATTTTTTGTACCAATTCGCATATTTTGGGTGTAAGAACATTTATATGCATATTTCATGGATTTAACAAAAAATTTAAAAAAAATGTATAGTTTAATAATAAAATAGTAGATATATGACAATCAAAATTCTAAGTTTTATATCGTTTGACAAAATAAATTAATTCATCAACGGCTATTATTTGTATTGCTCCGGCTCCCAATACACCTAACAATAATATTATAATCTCTATAGTACTAAGAACTCGTAATAGTGACCACCGACCGGCCCGTATTTATTTTTATACAAATTTACTCCTGAATTAATATTTTGTTACATGACATAAATAAATTGTATAACCATAGGTAATTAGTAAACAATTATGTTTAACCACTAAGTTATCAGCTTACCATATACACAATATTATTTCTATTCGTTATAATACTATATGCATCTGCATGCAAGCGACTTCAATGTACAGTGTATACTAGTCAGCAGTCAGTCTATTATTTTTTAAGCAATTATTTTCCAATTTTCTACTGTATATTATAACGTATATTTTGATGTTTTTAACCCTTATGTAAGTGCATATTTTAGTACTTTTTAGCGCATAAATTCCTGAACCTCGGCTATTATAGATCTGTTGTAACAATGTTTTAGGTTGAAAATTCTAAAAAACTAATATCTAAATAAGATTAAATTTTTAATTGGTTGAGATTTGCCAAATACCAACACATTTTGAAAATAATAATAAAATATTAATATTGTTTTAATTTAATTATTTTAAAATATATAGGCAATTTGTTAAGGAGAATTGTCTATGTTATGTTTCTGTAATGCATTTTTTAAAAA